GGGGCCCTCCCACTCCCGGGGCTCCTGGGGATCCCGGCGGACGCGGCGGGTGGCCGTGCGGGCCGGGGGCTCGGGGCCCTCGGAGCCTTTGGTGAGGCGCAGCCCGGGCGTTTTGGTGAGTGGCGGGGGCGGGGGGGTTGGGGGCGGAAGGACGCAGTAGACCGCTCGCCCATGCAAAGACTTAGGAAACTACTCTGTATCCAGATTCTGGGGAGGAAAACAGGCCCCCGGGGTCTCCCCCGCGTGGAGTTTCTTCAGGACCCAGTCAGTTTCCAGCAGTTGTTTGTGCAGACACTGCTGGGTCGTATGGGACATCCTCTCTTCTCTCCCTCCAGTTGTCTGCCCCAATGAATAGCTCACACTTCTTCACTTCTCTCCATCCTTTGGCGCACGTTTGCTTTATATATATATATATTTTTTTTTTTCTTTTTTTTCTTTTTTCCCTTGGTTTGGGCACATTCAGAGAAACTGGAAATGCAGATTCAAAACCAGGCGTTCTCTCCCCGCGCCCAGGGCGCTGCGCTCCCAGGCATCGGTGAGATGTTTATGTTGTGCTGCAGATTAAACAGGCTGGCTGGAAACGGGCTTCCCGGCCAGCCCTGGTTGGACTGTGTGGCTGACATTCTGTGTTTAGTCAAGGTATTGGAAGATGGGCGTGGGGGAGGAGCCTTTTTCCGAGGAGTTCGTGGGGAGCAGAAATTCCATGTCTTTTAGAATGGACTGTGCTCTCCCAGGCCTGGCCTTTCCTTTCCCTCAGATAAAATAGGGCTGTGAGTTTCTGTGTCTTTCCTGGCCAAGCCTGGCATGTTCTGCCCCCCATTTGTCATCAGAAGGGTATGGGCCAGCCCTTCCTGCTCCCACCTCGTTGGTGACACTTGTCTGGAATCTGGCGGGAAGGCTTTCTGGTGTGGGCTTTCCTTGTGATGATGGTTGACCTGGGGAGTGAACAAGCCTCCCTAACCCCTCTCTCAGGAAAGCTCCGAGCTCTGAACGGACTTTCAGGAGCCTGTTTTCCCACGAAATATGCCGAGATGAAGCATACCTACCTTCTCCTCGTCCCTCTCACCCACTCCCCTTAAGGGAATGGAGTTTTGGCACCAAGAGCAAAGGAATGCGGCTGTTTGGACAGGAGTGGTTAGGAAGGGGCCAGAGGGCTCCTTTGGAGACCCCATGAACATCCTCGTTCTAAGACTTTTGGCTTGTTGATCATCCAAAGGCCAAGACCATGGTGACGGTGTCCCCTTAGTAAAAATTCACGTGGTACAAAAAGATACAGCCTCCCCAGGAGCGCCTATCACTCAGACACACCTGTGCTGGGTCATGACTAGCACTCCGGGGACTGAGAGGGGCCTCTTCAGCCTGAGCAGCCACCCTCGCTGCTGCTGCAGTCTCCAGCCTGGAGATGAGATGTTAAATGCAAGCCGTCTGTCTACCCAGGGGAGATGGATTGATAATTGACATTTTCCAGACAGAGCCGAGGCCATTTATTTCTATTGCCCCTACTTGGCCATTCACAGCCGTGATAAACAGCCAGCGTCTTTAGCTCACCTGTGTTCTCCTGGCGGACTTAGAGAGGGTAAGTTTGCATCTTTACTGTAGGTAGCAGTACCTAGTGAGTTAAATGTTCTTTGTGTGTCCTCCCGGTCTCATGTCCCCTGAGACTGTGGGAAGGGTTAGTATGTCTGTCTGCACTCTCTTTTCCCTTCCTCTGTCTGACATGTGAAATCAGGGCCAGGGAGGAAGCCCTATTGATGCCAGTTGTAAAAGCCTTAGCATCTTGGCTAATCATTGCTGGACAACGTATTCATTAGAAGCCGTTGGGGAGGGCCCAAGATTTTTGTATGTTACCTTGGGGAAAAATTAGCCAAGCTTTTATCCGGTACTTCCCCTGTGTAACTCGTAATACTCAAAAAGACATGCGTTCTCTGGAGCTTTGGTATTGGAAGATAGTGCTGTTGCATAACTGCCGGTAGATAGTCTTTCTCACTCTTTATTGTATCTTTACATTTGCTCTGTGAGGTTTAATGGCACATCTGTGCATATATTTACTCAGCACTGGATGAGTTATTGCTTTCTAGGATAGAGACTTTTTTAGCTTATCATCATTCTTAGCAGGGATAATCTATCAACAAGTCAGCAGATCTGGGATTGAAGGGTTAGCCATTCTTCTATACGTAATTAGTGAATTGGAGGATTAGAGCTCTTCTATACATGAGATATTTCATGTACAGAAGTATTTTAAAATATGTAAGGATAAACTGCCAAGATTACCTGTGCAGTCTTGAAAAAAGAAGAGTTCAAATATAACTATAAACTGTAATTGACAATGAGTCATTTGCTTTAGGGGTGCCAACTATGAAAACAGCCCGGTTATGCTCCTAATGATAATTATGAAAACTCCTTTTAAAAGCCAGTTGCCTCTCAAGTGAGCTGCAAGTTGGCTTGGATAAATATTTTCAGTTTTACTTTCTAAAATGTTATCCAGGGGTGATGACTACACAACACTGTGGATGAACTTAATGTAAAAATGGTAAAAGTGGTTAAAAGGAATCGTCCAGTTAATAGTTGTAAGTGCTATTTTCTAGCCATATGTAATTTTCAGAAACTAAACATTCAAACATTTCAGGAAAACTTCCATTCTTGGTAGAGATAATTTAATATACAATTACTGACTATTAAAAAAAAAGACAAATCTCAGAAACCTAGTAACTAAGAAAGCAGAGAATGGACACATTAAAGGTTTCTAGCAGCCTGAGCATTTTATGTATGAACTCAATACATATTTTAAAGCAAATGTAATGCCTGGGGAAGTAAAGAGAAATCATATGTACGTGTGACACCAGTTGTTAATAATAGTTAATTATATACAGGCATCTTGATAAGGACTGTACATGTATTAGTTCATATATTCTTATACAAGCCAGTAAAACAGTTTATTCTTATATTATAGAAGAGGATGTTGAAATGTAGGATAAACAACCTGCCTCTCTCTAGTTTGCACATCTAAGGATCTGAGGAAAAACAGCCTATTTCTGGAATCTTCACTCTTATTTCCAAGGCAAACTTGCTTTAAGAAAATTTTTTTTTAAAGATTTTAAAATTGAATGGTGATAAGCTAGAGAGAAGGGAAGAAAGAAGGAAGGGAGAGAGGAAGGGAGAGGGAGAGGGAGAGGGAGAGGCAGAGAGAAACATTGATGTGAGAGGGAGCTCATAACCCAGGCATGTGCTCTGACCAAGAATCAAACTGACAACCCTTCAGTGCATGGGACGATGCCCAACCAACGGAGCCACACAGGCCAGGCGGCAATCCTGCCTCTTGTATGTGGTTCTTTTAAAAAAATATATATATTTTATTGATTTTTTACAGAGAGGAAGGGAGAGGGATAGAGAGTTAGAAACATCAATGAGAGAGAAACATTGATCAGCTGCCTCCTGCACACTCCCCATTGGGGATGTGCCCGTAACCAAGGCACGTGCCCTTGACCGGAATCAAACCTGGGACCTTTCAGTCTGCAGGCCTATGCTCTATCCACTGAGCCAAACCGGTTTTGGCTTGTATGTGGTTCTGAGTAAAAAAATTAACAATATTTGAATTAGTCCAATCAGACAATTTACCCCTGTGTAGCCCAGCATTGTTTGACCAATGTGTAAGAGTGTGAGCTTCGACAGTGATGCTATTCAAGGACAATTACACTCAGAAGTCCAGTCTAAAAAGCCCCTCCATTTGGCCCTTTATGACCTGGAGGAAGCAGCCCCCTTTCATACACTCACTCTGAAGCCTGGGACCTTGGACGTGAGGGGGTGGAGTCTGACACGCCCCCTTCCCTCCTCTACCCACCCATCAGGTGCTCGCTCCGTATCCTGCATGGGCTCCCTTCTTCCACATTCCTTCTTACCTCTCTTATATCTGAAGAAAGGTAGTTGTTTTGACCCCTGTTTTCACATCAGGTCCATAACCCAACCCCAAAACAAACATGTGAAGAAGATCGGTAAAAATACAAGGCACTAAATAAAATAAGGCATCGATGTGTGGCAGGTGTGACACGGCAGCATTTCCTGTGTGTCTGTGTCCTTGCTGGTAGTGTCACAGAAGAAGCAGAGATACAGGGGAGACGTTCTGGTGGCTTCCAGAGAGCGGCTTAACTGGAATCCACAGTGATAGCATCGGAAATGATAGCAGGGGTCATGTAATGTATCCCAACCTCCTAATTTTACAGACGAGAAACTAAAGTCTAGTGAGGTGAAGTGACTTGTCTAAAAATGGTAAGCAACAAAGCTTGATTTAGAGCTGGACCCTTTAATCGGCGTGTCTAGTGTTTGCTGTATTTTCTGGGAAGCCGTGTCACCCAGTGACATAGATGGAGCAGGAACGTGGTGGCCCTGACTCCAGCCATTATTTTATCATTTGCACATTCCTGCCTGTTATGTGCTTGGTAGGGGACCTAGCCACACTGGAGAAAGGCAGGTCACCAGTGCCTAACGCTTCTGTCATGTGCGTGATTTCCCTAGGGGTTGGGTATCCATTGTCCCAGACCCTGGGCCAGATCATGAACAAGTAGTTTATTCATAAAGTGAGCAATGCTTGCCGAACCTATAGTGGGTCCTTGGCAAATGTGTTTTACTGATGAACAGAAGTTTTCCAAGTTGGATTTATTGCTGCTGTTTTGGCAACATTTCCAGGTAGTAAAATTTGGCTCACGTTTTAGACAAGTATTAGTCCCTTTTATTGCTCTCGGGGATGTATTGTCCCTCATTATTTTCATATCCCGTTTCTCTAGGAGGGCTGGCACAAGCCTCCAACGGGAGTAGCTTGGATTGGAATGTTTCCCTGCGCCGACTCTAAACTCGTTTTATCTTTTTAGGTTTTGGAAGATGACACACAGCTCGGGTGCCTTTTCCCCTGGTGGCAGACCGGCCCGTGAAAAAGTATGACACAAGTCTGAGGTTTGTGTCTGCTTCGCCAAGGTCAAGAAATTATCTCCGTGGAAGGCAACAATACTATGCATGTTATGAATTGTGTCTCCTTGGCCAGTGATAAAGAAAATGGGACTATCGCCACAGGATTCATGATTGAGGAAACGCAGCCCCCGCCGCCTCCTCCTCCTCCACCCCCTCCGCCTCCACCATGTCCATATCCAGAGGAAGGGTTCGATCCCTCTCTCCCCTCTCCCCCACCACATGCACTCCCCGGGGGGCCTCCGGTCCCTCCTCCCCCTCCAGAACTGCCCCCAGCATCTCACTGGAATGGCTACAGCCACCTGGGTAAGAAAAAGCGGATGAGGAGCTTTTTTTGGAAAACCATTCCGGAGGAGCAAGTCCGAGGCAAAACCAACATCTGGACCTTGGCAGCCAGGCAGCAGCATCAGTACCAGATCGACACGAAGACCATCGAGGAGCTCTTCGGGCAGCAGGAGGAGGCCGCCAAGCCTTCCCTCTCCAGGAGAGGAGGGTCTTTAAATTCGTCCTTCAAGGAAGCAAGAGAGGAGGTAGGAAGGGTGCTGTTTTGAGTGCTGATTTGGCAACATTTCTGGGTAGTAAACTTTGGCTCACGATTTAGAAAAGTATTAGTCCTTTTATTGCTCTGAATAACTTTTGAAAACTTACTAGAATCACTAAGGAATAACATAAGGCCCCGCCGGCGTGGCTCCGTGGTTGAGCATCGACCTATGAACCAGGAGGTCATGGTTCGATTCCTGGTCAGGGCACACGCCTGGGTTGTGGGCTCGATCCCCAGTGTGGGGTGAGCAGGAGGCAGCCAATCAATGGTTCTCTGTCATCATTGACGTTTCTGTCTCCTCTCTTTCTCTCTGAAATTAACAAAAATATATAATTTATTTATTTATTTATTTATTTTATTATTTATTTTGCCCCCCTCCCTCCCTCTCATATATACCCTCCCTCCCCAGAGTTTTATGTCCATTGGTTGTACTTATATGCATGTATACAGTATATAATTTTTTTAAAAAGGAAAGAACATAAGGCAAGGGAATGTTGTGTTCTGGGAATGACAGGAAGGGCCTTCCTTACATGCTGAGCTCGAGCTGAGTAGTAACAAAGTGGAAGGAGCGTGCATGCCGGACCCTCCCAGGCCTCTCGGTGGATTATGACCTCATGCCGAGAACATGCTCTGTGGGGCCATCGTCCTTGGCTTCTCAGCGCTGCCCTGACTCTGCACATCTGCGGCTTCCCCTGGTGGAGCACTCCTGCTGGAGCCCAGGATTACTCCTCTCCAGTGAGACAAACACAAAACCCAAGTTCCTGAGCCCAGGCATCTGCAATCAGCTGGAGCTTTCTGAGACAAGATGCCTTTTGTTAAATAGCATCATTAAGTAATGCACGTCCTGAGGGTTTTATCCTTAGTGTTTTCTCCCGTTTTCCTCGCACAGTGTTTAGTGAAGGCCTTCACTCCTCCGGTCTGAATTGAATAATGGCCATTGTGGACCAGAGATTTCCAGAGAGCCAAAGCGTTAAGCTGTTTTCAGATAGACTTTCTAGGAGGCATATTTCCAGTTTACACTCGGTGTGTTAACTTTGAGAAGAAAATAAAGCTAGCAAGTTATAAGAAGTTCACTGGAAGCGTGTGGCCTTCAGGGTACAGACCACTATACATTATAGAAACTGAGTCCAGAGTAGTGTTTGTGCATACTCTCTGTAGAAACACGAATAAACATGTAAAAGCTTCTACTTGCAAGAGGATATAATTAGGAAACCAGGGATTAAAAGGAAAGAATGCTGCCCACCAAAAAAAAAAAAAAAGTAACAGAAATGCATCATTTTTTAATCTGCTGTAAGGGAGCTGAGAAAATAGGTCAGAGATGGAGGTGTGCGATAAGGGTAGGCAGGGCTCTGGAATAAAGTAGCAGCTCCCTGCATTATTGAATTCTCAAGCCGACAATATTGACCTCTTTTCTCTCTGGCTCAGGAGCATGTTAACTTCTGTCCACGAATTCCCTTGGGGGCCCTTGAGGCTGGTGGCATGGTGCCCTGTTGAAACGGCCAGGAGTCTATTTATTATAAAATGTGGAGAACGCTGGGATTTGAGTTTAATCCGTGACATACATTTGAGAGGCAGTCCTTGGGAAAACCCTGAGTGGGAAGCATGGGTTTCCCTCGCTCTTTGCTCTATGCAAAGCCCTTTCCCTCCGTAGCAGACCCTTTCAATCCTGGGAGAAGCAGGAAGTCATTCCTACGTACCCTGGCCTTCGCCCCCGCGGCCAGCAGAGGCTTCTGAATGTACAGCAGGTCATTTCTCACCGCTGCTTCTGAGCTCCTCTTACTGAATTTCAAGAATTTTAAAGGAAAGAGTGGGTGGGTGCATGTGGAGAAAAGGTGATGTCTCCGAAAAGCACCTTTGGAAACAGAAGGTAGCCTGGCTCAACATGTTTCTGGGGAGGCGGCTGACCCTTGTAAATTGGGGACATTTATTTTGCCAATTGCTATGAGGTCCTTGCTGCTTTATGTTTGTGAATCGAAGAGAGGCAGGAAGTGTGGGGCCTTTTCCCAACTGTGGCAGAAGCAGAAATGTCCATTTCTAGGCCAGATGTAAAATCCAGGGGGGGGAATCTTTTTCCTCACCCCCTTCACCTCTGTATCTGAGGTACATCTTTACTTTTTTTCCTTTAACTTAAAAAACAAACAAACCTGAAAGTGAATAATTATTTAGCTAGCTAGTTAGTTATGTTTATTTATGTTTTATTGAATTTTTCAGTTAATAAAATGATACCGGTTTCAGGTGTACAATTCTATAATACTCCATCTGTACATTGTATTGTGTGTTCGTTAGCCTAAGTCAAATCTCCTTCCATCACCATTTATCCTCCCTTTACCTTCTCCTATCTCCCCTCCCCCTTTCCTCTGGTAATCACCATACTATTGTCTGTCTGTGAATAATCAACTTTTTAATTGTGGTAAAATATACATCGACCATCTTAACGATTTGCAGGTGTACAGCGCAGTGGCACTGGGACATCCACATGGTTGTGTAACCACCCTCACCATCTACTCACAGAAACCTCATCTTGCAAACTGAAACTCCAGTCCCTGGCAATCACCCTTCTCCTTTCTCTATGAATTTGACTGCTGTGGGTACTTTATATAAGTGTAATTGCACAGTCTTCTCGTGACTGGATCATTTCACTTTGCATAATGTCCTCAAAGTTCCTCCACGTGGTAGCGTGTCAGCGTTGTAAGGCTGGATAATATTCCATTGTTTACCCAGGTATCTGTCCAGGGACACTTGGGTTGCTTCCACCTTTTGGCTATTGTGAATAATGCTGTTATGAAATAGTTTTACTTTTAACACTTATGGGTCCTAATCTGAGAGACAGCATTCTAGAAAAAAAAGTTAAATCACCATAAATGTGTAAGCAAACAGCCTAATTCTTCAGTTCTTCAGTACTCAGGTAGTTTAGTAGATCGATGGATAAGTGCATATTGCGTAATATGGTCACAGAACAGGGTTATCCAGAATTATTTTCAATTTTCCAGGCTGTCTCCAACATGGCTAGGTATGTCATATGTACCTTTTTTTTCCCTCCAGTAAAAAACACAGGACATGTGATTTTCTTTCCTCATTAGATTTTCTTCTAAAGCAGCTACAACTCAACAGAGTGGTAGTCTAACCAGGACCAGTATTAAAATTTTCAGTTCACTCTATAGTAGGTGAAGCCCAGGGTTAACAGTCATAGTTCTCACTGTCTGTCTGTGTGGACCAGAGAGCACCCTCCACAGTATGTTGATCAAAACTGAGAGTCACAAAGAAACCACATAAGATAAATAAAGTCTGAGGATCTCATGTAAAACATGGTGACTACAGTTGAGAACATTGTATTGTAAAAACTGAAATTTGCTAAATGTTCTTACCAAAGAGAAAAAGATAAATATGTGAGATGGTGAGTGTGTTCATTTGCTAGGTTGGGGAATCCTACTAAAATCTTGAATTGGGAAAAGAGGAATGGCAAGGGAGAAAATAAGATGGAAGATTGGTGTTTCAAATTCATGAGAAGTCATGTTTTAGTCTCCCATACTGTAATTCAGGTTTTAGTCATTCTTTCTCAACTTTTGTTACGATCCCAGTATATTGTAGGATTCTGGGACATGCTCAGTCCAGAACTATATTGAAAGGAACCAAAAGCAAAGCTTCAACTGCGATTTCATTTCCCTCCCCTGAAAAGTTTGGGGGGAACATTTCCCACTTGACATCCAACCCAAAATGAAAAAAAAAACCACATTAAAACCCAAAGCTAAGTACGTATCGGAGCATTCGATTTTTAAATTTTCTTTTCAGAATTTCACATAGGGTTGAAATAACCAAAAATGACTTGAAATTTCCTTCTTCAGCCTGAAGACATTATAGTAAGTGAAATAAGCCAGTCACACAGAGACAAATAGGATATGATTCCATTTACATGGGGTACCCAGAATGGTCAACATCCTAGGGACAGAAAGTGGAAGAGTGGTTGCTAGGAGAAGGGGAGATGAGGGTATATGGGGAGTTGGGGTTTAATGGGTCCAGAGTTTCAGTTCTGCAAGTTGAGGAGTTCTATGGATGGATGGATGGATGGATGGATGGATGGATGGATGGATGGATGGATGGATGGGTGATGATGGTTGCACAACAGTGTGAATGTGAATGTACTGCATGCCACTGAACTGTACACGTGAAAGTGGTTAAGATGGTAAATAATGCTATGTGTATTTCACTGTCACTAGAAAGCAAACGTTTCCTCTTCCTTTTGAGAATATGGGAGGCAGATTTTGTAGTGACGTGACCCTAGGTGAAAGTTCATGCGTTATAGTAGAAGAATCTAGGAGAGCTTACCCAAAGGTGTTAACAAGAGGGTGGTGGTGGCCATGCACATCATTTGTGGAGTACCCAGTGTGTACCCTGGTTTCAGTGTCTCTGAGGGTGTTCGGACAACCCCAGCCACCTTGGTCAAATGTGGGGAGATTATAGCAAATCCTCTCACATCCTGGTGGGTCATCCTCCAGAGGAAATGAGCTGAACACATTAGCTTATGGCCAGGATTGGTGTAACTCCTTAAGGAAGCTCACTGGCTGTACCTGCTGTTGACTTGAGCGGAGTCCTGCCTCCACGCGCTGCGTCGTCCAGAAAAGTAGATCCGATTGACTGGAACTGGTGTGGCAAGGGAGGGATCCGTCGGTTCTTCCCTTTTCTTGGAGCAGCTGGTCTGACCTGTGGAGCCTGAGAGTCTCACAGGGGCCCCCTGGGTAGAGTCCACGGCTCTGAATGATTCCAACACCCCAGCAGTCCCACACACATTCATTTCTGAATGGCCCAGCTTTTTGAGCTGGCAAGCATTTGGGAAGTAAGATAAGCTAATTTACATGTAGAGTGATAACCCTCATTGAAGGACTTGAACAAACACTTTTATAACACTGCTTTGGAAGGATCCAGGAGATAACCAGTGGTAAAGAGACTGCTTGTGCATCCAGCAAATCTGAGGATATCGAGGGCAGTCCCTGGAGCGTTATCAGTTGTCTTGTTTTCCTGTTTTTTTGATGAGGCACTGGGCTGTTTTCCCTGGTGGGTGCAGTCAGTCAGGACCAACCCAGGTTTTTCCTTAGGAATACTCTTAGGGGCCAGTTTCTGAAGCCTGGCTTCAGACTGCAGAGAAAGCTCCTGTTCCAGGTGGGCTGTCCCTGCATTGAGCCTAAGGAAGCCTCTTTGTTCCTGCAGGCTGTTTTAGCTGGTGACATTTCTCCCCATCATCCCACACATACAACTGGGGTCATCGGGGGACTTGGCCAACCCCTTGGATGGCCTTCACTTCTGGAGAAATATTCCAATGTGAAAACCAGACTGGAGGGGGGATATTTGCCAATTCTCTTCACTCCTGTATCAGTGATACTAAAACTCGCCAGAACTAGAGTGAAAAGGAAGCCCATACACCCAGTCGAACATTTCAGTTCTAGTATTGCTTTGGGGAAGTTATAAAAAATGACAGCTCCGAGGCTCTGCTTCCTTATATGGTAAATAGGAGTAATAAGACTAATGTCTCCATCACTTTTTCAGCAACAATAGCTGTGGATCTCAGCCAAGTGTGCAGAGTCCCAGAGGGCTGAAGGGTGAAGATGATGAGGTGGATTTGGGGTATTGGGGACCCAGGAGGCTGCCACCATCACGGGTTAAATACAGCAGAGTGGGTAATTTAATGAGAGAAATTAAAAAAAAAAAAAAAAAAAAAAAGGTATTTCCCCATCCTGGGTGGAAGTGAGTACAGAGAAAGTTTTTTGGATATCAATCAATATACATGTTCTTACTTGCTAATTTAGGATTTATAATAAATGCATAGTTGTCTGTCATAATAACTTTTTGGTATAAGCTTTCCTCCTTAAAGGGTGATAACTTTGACAGTTGTGTGTGTGTTTTTTTCTCTCACCACTCTTTCTTCACCCCCTTCCCTCCCTTCACCCTGAACTTGAACTGCAACTCCGGGATAGGATTCCAATAAGGAGCAAGCCCTTTTAACTTGGGAGTTTATTTTATGGTTGGCAGGTGATTGTGTTAACATGAAATAAACCCCTAGGATAGTAAATAATGTGATTGTTGAAGATTAGTGTTCAAATGAAGGTAACCATACTCTTGTAAAAATTTAACCTTGTAGCCAGGAAGTGCCATTGACTTGGTTAACAGTCTTGTTAGTCTTGCTGTTTCCTATACACTTAGAAGCAGGCCCAGGGATCAGGAATTTAATTTGAAACCCGATTCTCTTTTGTTCGCAATGAATCACATACATTTGGAAAGGAAGAGCATTACAACAACATTCCTGTTTTAGCGAGTCTCCCTCTACCAAGAAACAAGTGGGAAAAAGTGCAGCAGTTTTAAGGTTCTCGTTTCTCCACACATCCTGGACGTTCACTTCCAGAGAAAGAAATGGCTTTGTTATTTTATCCCCTGCCAAAAAAAGTTTAATTTGTAATCTAACAAAACTCTTGCAAATCATTCATTTGAACAACTAAAACCTATTGCAGCCAGAATCTAGGTTTTGAAGGTACATTGGAATAGCCAACGTATTTCATTAAATTAAAGATGATTCTAGAGATGTTAAAATGCCAAAAAAAAAAAAAAAAAAAAAAATGTCTTCGACTTGATGAAATACATCACAAGAGTTATCCTTTTAAAATTATGAGTAAATAAAATGTAGGGCACTTTCTTACCTCTTCCTAAAAGGGCTGTTGGATATATATATTATTTTTCAGTGAAAAGAAATTTCTCTTTTAGAAAAAAATTAGGAATTTTACTAAATATTTTTTTCTATCCCTAAATCAGCGTTGGGACTCACTTTGAAATCACTTCAGAGTTATTTTTTACTTTCCCAGTTCAAAGCTCATGTGATTCTTGCTATACTAAGACATTTTTTTTTTCCAAGTTAAGACTTTTAAATGTGGACTATATTATTTTAAAAGGAAGCTGCTAAATTTAAAAATACCTAATTTATCAAGAATTATATAATATCATGTGTAATTATTACAATTAAAGAAACAGATCATTTGCAGAAAGTTTGGGGACATGATATTTTACTATTTGTAAAACTATATTAGGTATATCAATTAATCACCAGATTTACACACTTGGAATTATTCTCTTATAAATTGGAATTAAATTTTGATAGGTTTTCATCCTCTTCATTCCTCCAACTATTATTATTTGTACTTGAATGATCTTATGTGTCTCTCTCTTTTTTTTTTTTTTTCAGATTACTATCTTGGATGCAAAACGGAGCATGAACATTGGGATATTTCTTAAGCAATTTAAGAAGTAAGATTTTTGCGCACACTTGAAACTTGAGCATCAGAGTGTGTGGGTGTGAGCTGAAATTCAGATTCTAATATGAGGGAAAATCATTCCTCAGACCTCCACATCCTTCTCAGGCACATGGCTTTGATGAGTCCAGCACTTTCTGCTGTTTTCCTCATGAAAACCCAACCTAGTGGCTTGAAATAGGGAGAATGACCTCAGGATGTCCGTTCAAGCCTGGGATGTCAGGGGGTTTATAAATTCATCTGCAGTGTGGCCCCTTGAGTGCAGGTTGGGCTGGGCAGTCAAACGGGTAACGTTCAGGCATTCCAGGGTACAAAGGCGAGGGCTCTACTGGAGTTTCATGAGACTGAAGGGGATGGTTTTCCTTCTCCCAGAAGAAGGCTCCAGTGGCCGTTGCCACTTTGACTTTTTCAGGGGTGCCCGGGGTTGGGAGGAAAGGGGGATGATTTCCCAGGTGAAATGGCCTCTGAGTGGTGTTTCAGGATCTTCACTTTACCTGGCAGTGGGTCTGTGGTGATCACTGACACACCACTGCTGGTGAGACTGGGAAGAAGGCGGGATGGAAAGGAGGGTGGAGGCGATTAGCTTTAATGTCCACGGGCTTGTGTGTCTCTGGGACGCGAGCAAACCTGAAATGGAATCTGATCGATTGTCTTTTCAAGGTCTCCTCAGTCCATTGTAGAAGATATTCATCAAGGGAAGAGTGAGCATTATGGATCAGAGACACTGCGAGAATTTCTTAAACTTTTGCCAGAGTCAGAGGAGGTAAGGAATTTGGCGTGTGAGTTTTAGAGGAGTGATGATAAAAGCTTAATATTTGTAGGAATGTCAGAAATCACACGGGAAGGGAACTCTCCTACCCAGAGACAGTTTTCTCACGTAAAATTAAGACGTGACCCAGTAGAAAGTGCATGGGTTATGGGATTAGAGGACCTAGGTTTGAATTAAAGCTCTACCCTTAATTGAGAAACTTGGGCAAGCTTCTTAACTCTCATGAACTTTAGTTTTCTCACCTGTCAAGTGAGGCTGTGATGCTTACCTCAATGGATAGTCAAGATAATTAAACTGTAGTTATGCATCTGACATGGTACTTGGCCCGTGGAAGCTCAATACATTTTAATTCCATTTTCCATCGGGTGGATGATCTTTGCCTATGGTGTATGTGGATTGTTTTATAATGTATATACTTAAAAAAAAAAAAGTAAACCGCTTCAGGATAAAGATGCTCTAAAATCTGGGAAGGTAAGTAAATTGTTAATGAATGTTGTCTATATAACTGACTGAAAGTTGGAGATTGGTGTGATAGCAATGCAGTATCGCAATATAGTTATTGATTGATTTTTTTTTTTTTTGGACTGATTTAAGTGACATTTGAATGGTTAGGAGCTTGATAGAAAAGAAAACAGAAAAATAATTTTGTAAAACCTCCCAAAATTTTAATATTGTCTTTTATTTCTGAAGAAGTGACCTTTGGAAAAAAAAAAATTCTAATAGAAATACCTGAATATCCGTGCTTGTAAACGTTTGAATAATCATAGTCTTATAAAGTAAAAGGTATGTTAGCCTACACATACTGCAGTTCCTCCCTCTCCCAACCCACTCCTCTTCCCACACAGGATAGGTGGAACTTGACTTTAGAACCATTAATAACAGTAAGATAAATGTATTCATACTTTTCACATTAGTGATAAGCACAAAATGCCAAATCGAGAGTCTTACTGAGTACCTAGTCATTCTAGATACATCTAATCATCTCAGTCCCTCTCTATCTTGGGTTTTCTGTTTTAAAGTTAAGTGTAACTTATCTTAGCCAAGATTAATTGATAGGACTTATCAATGTTAATAAAAGGGTCGTAAAGTATTGAGAAAAAGAAAGATTAAATCTTATTTACTGAACACTCTAGTTTTGCTTTTATGTGGAAAATGGGAGTACTCAAATTTTAAAATTAGGATGAATATGGTTGAATTAATCTGGGTTTTAAAGAAGATTTTGTTTTTCTCAATATCTTACTCCTGTGAGGGCTTTTCCCAGGCCTCCTCAGCACTGCTGTGGTGCCCACTCCTAACTGGCCTTTTCCGTTTTTAAGTGAGGGTGAGATTTAATGGCACAAGTGGAAGTGCTGTGAAAAGCTCTAAATTTTTCACTAAACAGAAGTCACGCACGAGGGAGGCTGCTGGCTTCTTGCCACGAAGATGTGGGAGATTAAATATGGCTTCTTAATGTCTTTACTTCGAATTCAAAAATCAAAGGTGATTCGGGAATGCAAAGGCTGTGGAAGACTAAGGGATTTTTCAAAGAAGCAACTTAGCTGGCAAACTGCTCATGTTTTAAAAAGCTCTGGCTTTTTTGAGTTGTGTGTGGGATATAATTGAAAGGGAGGAAAGTCAAGGGCAAGATGAATAAAACCCACCCAAGGCTCCCCTGAGCCCCCAGGCACTCTCTCACCCTCAGACTGTTAGCTAACCCCTGGCCTGGTGGTGGGATCCTGCCTCCCCAGCCCCTGAGCCGGGCCCAGCTGTTTCTCCCACCACCGTCCTGCGCCCCAGGGTCATCCCCCCTCTGAATATCTGACAAGCTTGGTCACCCTCCTACTTGTTTACATTACCGGCTCTTGGCTTCAGCTCACCACACCCTGCAAACTCAACCGGGAGCTTCCTTCGGCAGGAACACCCTGACAGTCCCCAGGGCCCTTGGCATCCCTCCCCAACGCACTCCGGGGGATCTGTGCTGGCAGAGGGAGGCCCAGTGAAAGCCAGAGCCACCTCGTGACCCATGCCCGCTGCAGGGTCAGATCAGCTTTAGTTGTGAGTGCTGTGTGGCCTCTGGCACCACCCAGACCCAGGGCCGACCCTAGAATCTTTGGAGGAGGGTGGAGGATGGAGATGAGGCCAAGGAGGAGAAGGGGCCAAATGAGAGAGGTTTAGGAATGTGGCAGAAATATGCTAATAAGTGCATAAGTGCACGAGTAACCGCATGTTGCCGAGCCTGTGGCATAACGTTCTGTGCTCATTTTTAGCACAAGAAGGGATTACATGTTTGTTGAGGGCCACTGTGTTCCAGGCACTGGACAGGGCAGAATTCAACCAAGCAAGATCCTGCACTTCAAGTATGTGGCCCCGTGTCCGGCACATAGATAGTCAATAAATCATGGCTGTAATGATTTAGTGTATTTTTTTCACTTAATCCTCACAGCGATGTAAGCTAGTCCTCATGTTACACGTGAGAAACGGGGGCTCCCGTAGGCTGGGTAAAACGTGTCCAGTGCCACATGATGGACAGGCCCCGGAGGAAGGTGGACTTGAACCCCTGATGGGTCTGACCCCAGAGCAGTTCCTTGGGCTGCACTTGGAGGAAGGAAGGAAGGGCAGAGGTTCTCAACACACTCAGAAGGTTCTCAGAGGCCTCCCAGCCTTTTCATCACCGCCGCTGTCACACAGCACTGGCGTGAGAGTCACCCAGATAATGCCGCGATCTTATCAGCAGGCAGAAAAATAGGGACGGGAAGAGCTCTTTTTCTCCTCTGCATTCTCAGCTGACAAGCCAGTCCAAGGTTAATCCGTGTACAGGATTCCTCTGCCCTTTGCCACAAATCTTTTGTCTGGCATGTTTGTTCATCTGGCCTGTGACTCGTGGTTAAAACTTGCAGAGGAAGAAGGTAGACGGAGAAGTAAAAGAACTGGAGGGCTGTGCTCTCTGTGAGGTGTCCCTCCTCCTGAGAGGAGGCTGGAGTCGGAGCCAGGTGGGCGGAGGAAGGACCCTACCCAGCTGGCAAGCCCCTCCCTCCGATGGGGCTGGGTCCCCATCATCTCCTCAGGGTTGGGGATGCGATAGAAATGTTCTGTCCACTCTGGGTGCAGACTCCTCTGACACTTGATCACCTCATTTCTACCTTTTTTGTTGACTCTCCCCTGGGAGGGACATGCCAGTGGGGGAGCTCCAGAACCTTCTGTTGATCCGTGGGTGGGAAATCCTGCTCTTTGAAGGCCACATGAGTGGAATTAGATGGGATGAAGGAGGCCTGCCCCCGGGAATGTGTGAGCCTTAAGGAGCATTCTGTTTGCTAGGAGGACAGCACGGAGTAGCTGGGTCAAAATGAGAGTCACTTGGCTCAGCCAACAGCATCATGCCTAACAATGTTTGATAAATGCTTTTTGATGATGATGAGAATGCATAATAATTATAGGGTTGGTTCACCTCTCTCTCTCTCTCTTTCTCTTTTTTTTTTCTTCACCTCCCTACCACTGTAAAGGTACCGTAATCCCTCTTAATGAACATAAATCCCGTTTTGGAATGGAGTTAAGAACTGTATACAGGACATTTAAATCAAATACTATCTTTTCATCACCATTCTCTTGAAATCTAAACATTGCTAGCTCATTACATAAGTGAGGGAGATTAGCCTTTGTTCAGTTACAGTTTAGCACATGTCTCATAGAAATATCGACCAAGATTACTTAGCATGACCTGTTCGGAGGCTTTAGACAGAAAACTGCTGTTATTTCCAGCCGTTTTGCACGTGCTGCCATGAGTCTCACTCTGCCCTGCCCATATATAGTGAGTTGTGAGACCAGTTTGGAAGGGATCAGAATTCATCCCATAGCTTTCTCAGGTCAGAAACAAGCCTCTGATTTGGGCTTAGCTAAGCCAGAGATTCCATCTGCCTTTTCATTTAATAAGGCAAAAAAAAAAAAAAAAAAAGCAAAAATCACCATTGGGGCCCGAAAGGCAGGGGAAATAGTGCAATTCTAAACATGGCGATTTCTCTGTCCATTGGAAGAAAAAGATGTGGTCTTAAGGACCAGACTCAATTCGAGGATGTGCATCTATACTTTCACATTTTGTTATCTTCGGGGAATTGGTGTAGGTATTTCAGTGTGTGGATCTTTGCAAATGCTCCCTCTGTGTTTTTGCACATCATTCCCTAATTTTTAAAGAGGCTTAAGGGTCATGTTATTTTTATGGGCAGCCAACATAGCCCAGGAGGTGGAAGAGAGAAAGCTTTATGAAGACTAATAAAAAGCGGGAGTGCTCCCTGGCTACCATCAGTGGCACGGACAGGCTGACTGTGTCTGAAGGCCCTACTTACCGGAAGGCGTTTTTGTTGGGAGACTCGGTGGATGGAGAAGCGCTCCTGCCGCTGGGTGGATCCAGTTTTCTGTGTGGGGAAGGCGCGATGCGCGCTGGTGTACAGGAGAACTTTCTTTTCCCTCCATCCCCACTTGCCAAGCTGTTTGGCTACATTCCTGCGTCCAAACTGACATGTGAAAGAATAATTGTGTGTCTAATAACTTCCAGCTTAATTAAAAAATATATTTTTATTGATTTCCAAGAGAGAAAAGGAGAGAGAGAGAGATAGAAAACATCAGTGATGAGAGAGAATCGTGGATTGGCATGCCCCACACTGGGGATTGAGCCCACAAACTGGGCATGTGCCCTGACCAGGAATTGAACCGTGACCTCCTGATTCATAGGTTGGTTGATGCTCAACCACTGAGCCCTGCCTGCTGGGCGTAGTTTAATTTTTTATAAGGAATTGCATGTTCATCGTAGACGATTTAGAAAATGAAAATAAGCACCAGAAGAAAATATAACTACTGGCATCCTGTCACCTAGTGTAGAGGAACCTTTGGTCCTTTTCCTGTATATTGTAGTCTGTGCATGGAAAGTCAGGGGTTAGTCAGTGCTTTAAAAAAAAATTATAGAAAAGGGATCCCATTGTGCATATGCTTTTATTACCTGATTCTTTCATAGAGGGATGTCTTGACATTGATCTTTCTGTTAAGCCACTTTCCTTTATTTCTTTGTACCGGAGAGTAAGAGTGCACTCACCTACCATATATGTGAAGGGGACTTGACCATAGAAATTTCTGCCTTAGACCTTACCCAGTCTAACTATGTTATATCCAAAAGACTCAAAAGTAATAAGGTGATTTTCACCTGTGACTTAAGGACCGTATTATAAGGAATACTCCGTCTCTTTTTTCTTCTCCTAAACAATGATCTCCCACCCAGGCTATAACTTACAGGAAAATGTCACCCTCAGAACGACCCCTTGTCAGCTCCTTTGGGTCGCCTTCCTGAGGATTCCGGTTCCCTGGCTTGAATGGGATTGTTTACACCCACAGAAATGACCCAGCTCTTCTCTTTCTAACGTGTGCTGTTTGCTTGGTGTTTCTGATTTCAAAAGGACAAAGTCGTAGATGTGGTGATTTCCCTTTCTGTCTTTTCTCAGCTCCCCACTTTTACTAGTGAGAAGGCAGCGCCGAAATTTCTATTTGCTTGCAGGGCTTCTAAGATGCAATTTAAAATCATGTCACATTTTAATCACAAGTTGTGTTTTTCTCTACCCCACCCCCCTTCCCGCCCCGTTTGTCTTTTAGGTAAAGAAATTAAAAACATTTAGTGACGATGTGTCCAAGCTGTCCCTGGCAGACTCCTTTCTGCACTGCTTAATTCAGGTGCCAAAGTAAGGACCTCCGATCTTTGTTCTTTACAGAGGAAGGTTTTTAAACCCGTGGCCTCAGAACTACCGTTTGACTTTTTTGCTTTCCAGCTATTCGCTTCGGATTGAAGCCATGGTGCTAAAGAAGGAGTTTTTGCCTTCTTGCTCTTCTCTGTACACAGATATAAGAATTCTAAGAATGGCTATAACAGGTGAGTGAATGCAGGATGCTTCGTGTAATGAGTTTTTATTTATGTGGGTAGCAGTTTGTTTTAAAAAAAAATGATTCAACTGAAATTAGAAATGCAAAGTCCCATTTCTGATACGCCTTAAACAGGGGAATCAGTGTTACCAGGGATGGCACTGAAGGTTTATCCACAGTTACTTTCTCCCCTAATTAATGAAATGACTAATCAATTGATTACTTAATTAGCACATTATCCTCCATAAGAGAAGCTTTCTTTCATCTCCCCGCTTTGGAGTGAACCTTGCTGCTAGCAGCTCACTCTTGTTCCTCTTGTAGGTTTGCTTTCTGTGTGTCAGTGGTGTGTGTGTGCCTTTAAGTGACTGAGATACCTTCAGTTGTTAAACCAGTTTGCAAACTGAGTTTAATCAGAAGGTGCAAGCCCTGGGCCAGCCCAGCCCATCTCTCCTCCCATTCTCTGCCCTCTCTGTTGGTGCCTAGGACCCTGCTTTCCGGAAGCAGTCCCCCTTTCCTCCTGACTCCTCCCAGACATGGCCACGTGGCTCTTTTGTCAGGGTTCCGGTGTCACTGCCACCACTGCCTCCCCTCCCTCCAGACCCAACAACTGGTTGGTTGGCTAACTAGTTTGAGAGGGGCCAGTGGGCCATTTCCATGTCTTTGAACAACTTGCTACCTTCTTGCTTACCCAGCTTGGCTAGACTCCTCCTCGGAGCTGCTCTGGTGTCTGTTCCATATGGGTGGGAGCATGGGAGCGTGGCGTTGGCCTTGGCTGACCCTGGGAGCGCAGGCCCAGCCCATTGGTGTTTGCCTTTTTCTCATCTCCAGGCAGTCCCGGGCCCTCCCTGATCCTCACATTTTCCAGCACCATCAGCGCCCCCTTTCCCACTCCCTCTCGCTCATTTTCTGGATTTCATTATCGTGCAGAACTGTTTATTCCTGTTTGGTTTTCCCGTTTAGTTGCTTCGACCTGGGTTTGAGATAACTTTTGCTCTTCAGCCTATCCCAGTTTCTTCATTTTAGAGAGGAGATTAAGAACAAAGATTTTTTTTTTTCTTCTTTCAGCCTAGAGTCCTTTTAAAATTTCTTCCTATCCCAAGGCTATTGCAGCAACTCCAACAGGGTTGTTGCTCCTGTTCTAAGGGAGATGGGAGAACATGTTTTCGTATTGAGCAGGCAAATTTGTGGCCACGGCGCAAGCGTTTCTTATCTGGTTCCCCTTCAAAAACTGGCCTCCTTAGATAACACAGTGTAGGCAGTGATCCAACTGTAATTTTGGGGAAGTAATACCAGACTTAATGAAGAATATTAACCTAAAAATATCATAGGTGACATTTTATTCTCCATGTATTCTGTCATTTCAATCATCAAACTTTTTTAGCCTCCCCAATACATCAACGATTTTGAATGGGTGTGTTTTGTTTTGTTTTGTTTTGTTTTGTTGTGTGTGTGTGTGGGGGGGGGGTAGGTGTGTGTACAATAGAGTCTGTGGTTAAAGATCTAGTTTACCAATATATTCCAACGATAAATTTCTTTTTAAGATCTCAAGCCAAGCCACATGAAATATCTAGCTTTGAATAAAATAGGAAGATTCTCTGGGTGGCTGGCCCCTAAGAGTTGGTGCTTTGCATGTCACACCGGCTTGTTTATTTACATGTCACACCGGCTTGTTTACTTTTTATCTCCTCATAGCTCATGGACTAAGCAAAACATTGCTTGCTATTAGGTCTCACTATATTTTATCAATATATCCTCAAAGGCTAGTGGATATAAATGAAAAAAAGAAACCATTGAACTGTTTTTATGATGTTTAAATATTGCTTACATTTGATTTCCAGTTCAATACCAGGCTGTGGGTTGCCAGTAGCAAATGCCGCATTAGATGCACCATAGGATGTGCAGCTTGCTTTAATTTCACAGTCTTGTATGCATTTCAGGGTCAGAGCTTGCTCTAAGTACCCTTGAACTTGAATGTGGTAGCTAGTAGTTGTCTCTTCTACATTTACGCTGGAGGCTTCTCTAAGTCCCTGTGTGTGTTCTTCTTGACAGAGCTGATGTCATGTGAGGAGCTGCATTCCATATTACACTTGGTGCTACAGGCAGGAAATATCATGAATGCAGTAAGTAAAATTTAAAAAAAATTAAAATGTTGTATTCCAACTGTATTGAATGTCTAAATATTTGTTTTTTTCTTTTGATCTGTCTTCTTTAGGGAGGGTATGCCGGCAATGCAGTAGGATTTAAGCTGTCTTCATTGCTCAAATTGGCAGACACAAAAGCAAACAAACCTGGGATGAACCTTCTGCACTTTGTTGCGCAGGTATGGAGGTGGTTGATATGGAGAGAGGACGCGGTGGATCTCCATGCTGGCTGTGACGTTTTTCCCAGGTCTAAGGTGGTGTCAGATTCAGGAAAGGGCATGGTGGGTCCCAAGAAGGTTCTCTGTGCAGAAGCACTGTCTGCAAGTGCGTGAAGTGAGCTGCGCCCACAGTCCTCGGACTGAGGGGAGACCAGAGGTCTGGGGAGTGGGGCAAAGGGTGGATGAAGGCAGATAATAAAGATTGGATCCTAAAGCTGAGGAATGTGGATTCCTTGCTTTAGCAGTGGAGAGTCGATTGAGGTGCGTGTGCAGCATGGCCTTTTGTTTTGTTTTAGGGAAATTGTGGAGGATGGGTTGGAGTGGAGAGAGAGCTAGAACGAGGGGTACCTCTTGGTAGCAGTTGGCACTAATGATTGTTTGGAGGAGTTGAGAGTCACAGTGATGGCCACAGGGATGGGTGTGGAAACATTGCTGATGTTGAGTGGACTAGATTTTTGACCAGTTATGTGTAAACTGTGAGAGAGTCAGAGCAATTACAAAGATCACTTTCATCCTTTTCCTTTGTGAAGTGTGGGCTAGCATGCCTTGCCGTGAGCCCAGGGATTAGACTCAGAACCCTGCCCATCACTTCCATTTTTAAAAATATTGGCTTAGAGAGAGGAAGGGAGAAAGAAGGAGAAACACTGGATGTCAGGGAGAAACATGGGTTGGTTGCCTCCTGCACACACCCTGACCAGAGATTGAACCTGCAACCTGGGTATGTGCCCTGACGGGGAATCAAACCCCCGGGTGCATGGGAGGACGCTCCAACCAACTGAGCCATCACTTCCATTTTTGACTGGGTCTATGTAATGCCAAAGGAGCTAGTTCCAAAGTGAAAAATCAGCCCAGCACAATTATCTCTTTGTTGTTAAATTATCTCAAGTAACGAATTGTTCCGGTTTGTCTTGGTTTGTCTTTCCTTCTTGCAAGGCCTTGTTGTTTTGACAGCAAATACAGCGACGTAGCTTTAGCCTGGGGAGGAAGCCCTGGCATGTGATTATTTCAAGTGTGAGCTTCAGACAGAACAGAACTGAGAGAGTTGGCAGAACTGAGAGAGGTTGAATTGTCATTTATGAGCTGTAATCCCTCAGACAAGTTATTTATAAAAAATATATATTTTTATTGATTTCAGAGAGGAAGGGAGAGACAGAGAGAGAGAGAGAGAGAGAGAGAGATATTGAGAGAGAAACATCAATGTCGAGAAAGAAACACACCACACTGGGTATTGAGCCTGCAACGCAGACAAGTGACCGGGAATCAAACCTTGACCTCCTGGTTCACAGATGGATGCCCAACCACTTAGAACCACTTAGTTATTTAAACCTGAGACCCTGGATCTCTTCATCCAATGACAGGGATAGAGATACCTCAAAACCAGGTAACCGAGAGGCTCACAAAGGTAATTCCGTATAGTAAGCTCGCAATTATGACTATAGTCTTCCAGCTGGAGGCCATGTTGACCTTAGGTCTAATATAAAAGCAAATTCGAAGGACATTAAAACCAGAAAATAGGTTCCTCCTCCCACATGTCTTGCTGGGAGGGACTCTCTGGCAGCCCTTTTAGATCCGTGTACCCAGGTGTGTCCTGTGTCCCTGCCCATGTGGGGAAGTTTCCCAAGTTGTTAATTGGTGCCTTTATACCTGCCTTCCTCGTACTCTGTGAACAGATGAAGAATCCAGAGTCGTCTCCATGGCTTGGGCACCTTCTGATTAAACTCAGGTTGCAAACTGGTTTAACCGCTGAAGGTATCTCGGTCATCCAAAGGCACACTCACCGGTATGGGTGGTATTTAAGTGGGACATATTGGATTCTCTGGGAGACAATGGGCCCTGCTAAGCCGCCACCTCCTTCCCCTGAGTTTTCAGGCACGTTAGCTATGGTTCATGCCAGCATCAGTTGCTCTGGGAGGTTACATGTACAGTGAGAGTCCTGGCATTCTGTAGATCTTACTAAGAACATTGGAGCTCCTGCCTCAGTGAAGGGCTTTGAATGCATCAAGGGTAAAAATGGGAACAGTGATTTTAAGGTTCCTTAAATCCTGAGCAAATGATTTCCTTCCAGTGCCATCTATATAGTGAGAAAAAAATTCTGGTTTTGTTTCAGGAAGCCCAAAAGAACGATGCCATTCTTCTAAACTTTTCTGAAAAGTTACATCATGTTCAGGAGGCTGCTAGGTAAGCAAGAAAGACTGAAAGAGAATTGTGAAGATTTAAGGGTTTGTGTTTTTTCAACTATGAAAAAACACACACAGCCCTTCTTATGAAAACTGATGACTGTTTTATAATGTCTCGATTCAGGTGTGAACTTTTAAAAGTTTTGTCTTGTTGAACTTTCAGACCTTCTTTTCATTTGCTTACAGAGGTGTGTGCGTGTGTACACCTTTGGAATTTGGGGGTTTTGAAAAATTAATCCTTAGTTTTTTAATCTAAAAAAGACCTGTTGCCATCTATTCTAATGAATATCATCAGTGTAAAAAAAAACAGGGATTAAGAACTTCAACTCCCTCCACACCCAAAAGATAGAGCTCAAACAACAGAGCCTGTTACCCTGGGAGCTGCTATATTGTCAGTCACACTGGCAGGGCCATCCATCAGTTTCCCCTGTAGGATCTAACATGGTACACTTATTTTCTATTACACTAGAAGTTGGAACCAAACCAAGGGCTGTGAAAGGATTTTGTCTTAAATTAGTCAGTCGGCTTTACATAGAAAGTATCTACCATGGAGCTCCATTTCTAACACTTTAACTTGCTTCTGGTCCTAATAGAGCTGTGTGTTTTAATGTAGCTCTAATCTGTGTTTTAGATTAGAACATGCTAGCTCGAGTTCTATGTTTTCAAATTTATAATATACTAGCTTTTCAGGGGAGGAAAAAGGTCTGATTTGTACTGTATTTGTTGATTTCCATGGTGTAAGCACTACTATCATAGCTGATTCCCACGCTACCAATGTCATTACTAAAGCACAGTTGGGAAGAGATGCTTATTCCCATGTCACCCCTTGTGATCTGGCTTTAGCCTATCTCTTCATCTGCATCGTCCAGGGTTTATTTGCAATAGTCTTTATTGCATCTACTCATTATCCGAGTGACTATATCCAGTTAGGATGCAAACCACATGCATAAGCACATGAACCATAGCTCTGCAGGCCAAGCCCTGTCGTTGGCCAGTGTCTCTGTGATGACTGTGAACATCTAACCACAGATGACATCTTTCCCAAAGTGGGATGGTCAGTCAGTCCAAAGGTGTGAGCAGTTCGTAGTTCATGTTTACAGATAGACAGATTATTCCCCCCAAAGAATGAGCATCTTTCTTATAAGATATAAACTGTTTTTGTTTTGAATTACTAAAAGGAATTGGGAATATTTATTCCTCCAACTAGTATAGCAGTGTTACTAAGAGAGGGAAATAGAGAAATAACCATTAATTTTTTTTAAATCTTCACCCAAGGATATGTTGTTGTTTTTTTAATTGATTTTTGAGAGAGGAAGGGATTGGGCGAGAGAAACACAGATCGGTTGCCTCTCATATGTGCCCTAACTGGGGATTGAACCTACAACCTAGGGATGTGCCCTGACCAGGAATTGAACCCACAGCCTTTTGGTGTATGGGATGACATGCCAACCAATTGAGCTACCCAGCAAGGGCAACCAGTACAGTTTTAAACTGATATTTCTGGTCAGAGTTAGAGGGGGAAGTTTAGCTAGATATTGTCTTAGGAAAAACCTATTCAGTGAGGTCTGTTTATTTGAAGTGGAAGATGAAGTACAAATAGATCAGAGATGGGTATCAATGACCATTAAAGGCAAAGGACTTTATTGTGTGTGTGTGGGGGGGGAGGGGGTGTAGAACTGACAATAGTAGCATGAAAGCATCCAAATATATGGATTTGCTAATACCCCAGGATTTTAAGGGTTATCTGTGTTCACTTTACTGGGTGACAAAAACATCATTTATGCTCGACCAACCTGGATTTGATATAAATAGCAAAAGCATTTGAATGATGGTTAGTTTTCAGCAAAACAGAGCGCTTTCTCTGGCTGTCAGTGGCCAGCCACGTGATGTCTGCTCAGTATCTCCATATTACCCTTCATGTCAGGGTTATCAGCACAGGCTTCCCTACTTTTCATGAGTTAGAACTTCTGTATTTGTGTTTAGTGGCCAGAGGAAAGTGCATCTGAGTCCTGCTAGCTTTTAGTTTTTCAATGCTTATTGCCTAAAGGTGTTCAGACAAGTCCCATGGTTTTGATTAGCTCACCGGCAAGAACACAATTGCGTACATTACAGTCTGTTCTCTTTGAACCAGTCTGTGTCTTTAGGAAAGAATCTCCTCTCTAAAAACAACATAAGCAACAACATAAGCAAACTGACAGCTGTCAGAGGGCAGGGGAGTGGGGGGCCTGGATGAAAGGTGAAGGGTTTAGCCAAAGAACATATACGCACACCCCATAGACACAGACAACAGTGTGATGATAGCCAGAGGGGGGGACTGGGTGGAGGTAGGCAAACCAGGGGGTGGGGGGAGGGGGAGATGGGGACATCTCTAAGAGTGTCAGCAATAAAAGTTAAGTAATAAATCAGTAAAAAAAACATAGGAGGAAAGTCTAAATACAGGAATAGGTTAATGCAGTGGTCGGCAAACTCATTAGTCAACAGAGCCAAATATCAACAGTACAACGATTGAAATTTCTTTTGAGAGCCAAAAACCGACTTCTGCGCATGGGTCATGAAGTTTCCATCGCACTGTACATGCATGCCCACACGAGGTATTTTGTGGAAGAGCCACACTCAAGGGACCAAAGAGCCCCAGTTTGCTGACCACTGGTTTAATGTATTCACAATGGCTCCCTCCCCTTCTATTTGGTTTGTGTGTTTTTTACAACTGTCTTTAATATCTTCACTTAATAGAACATAGTTGGGCCCTTATAATTGTTTCTGCGTTCAAACGGACATGTGATCGTCAGTTTGTGCGTGTTTCCTTCTTTACCTTCCGTGTTTTGTATTAGTTTCCGGTGTGTCTGCCCTTCTGCTTTTAAGATTGACCAGCCGTTAGACTGGTTTGATGTGCCCCGTTGCCAACTGCCCGCTGTCCCCCTTCTTCTTCCAGATTGTCTCTGGATAACACGGAGGCAGAACTGCACTCGCTGTCCGTCAGGACACGGTCGCTGAAGGAAAACATCCGGCGGGATGATGAGCTTCGTCAGCAGATGGAAGAGTTCCTTCAGGTCTGTGAGTGAAGCAAGGCAGTGCCTCTAGTTTCATCGTCCAGCAGCTCCCCGAGGCAGGTTGCATGTGCCTGGGTGTGTGCAGGGGAGCAGCAGGTTCCCATTCATATTCTTCCCGCGCGCCCCCCCTCCCAACCCCCCTGCCACACATACACACACCCCAGTCAGTAAAGGGAGCATCTTAGTTCAGTGCCCATTCTTGGCTGGATTGTTTTTTGAGCAGAACATACTGAATGCGGCCTAAACTTCTTCAGGTAATTGTTAGGGATCACTGCTCGATGTGAGATGGTATCCCGGTTAGGGTGTTTACTTATCCTGGCAACTCAAGTTGTGGTTCTAAAATCCTGGTTTCGGGGTTCTCGACTCCCAATGAAACCGGTGAGCGACAGAACCAAGGTTCCACAGAAATCGTAAAGATCCCTGAGAACCTGGACTGTTGTTTCTTCGCTTGTGTTTGCTAAAGACCCAGGCTGCGTTTTGGCATGTTTTATGATGAGAACACAGTCGCCGTGCCTATCACCACCCGAAATTCATCAGCCCAGCAGGGTGTGTCAGGAGCTGCCCAGAATAACAACAAGAAAACAGCAGAGTGGACCTGTTTGTGACAGCTCACTGTGACTCACTAATCACACAGTCTGACATACTTCTTTTATCCTCCTCATTAAAAGGGAAGAGTGGCACCTTTTCACGCTCTCAGTCTTCAGGGAAGTGGTGTGCTGCCTTAAATGTCAGTGCTTTGAGATCTGCGGGGTGGAATCCAGGTGCCAGGGCTGCCCTTGGCACCGGGAAGGAACACCGTGCTCCAGAGGCTTGTTCCAAACGAAGCCTGCGCCCGCGTACTCGTAATTAAGCTGCAACTATGGTGCGCCTCAGCTTTTTCCATCTGCAAACAGTTCATTTTTGTTGGGCTCGGTTGGGATTTTATTCTTTCTTATTAAACATGGGTTCCATGTTTTCTTTGAAATACAACCAGGCTCTGATTTTCCCCTTGAAAGAACACAGATTTTCCTCAAAGCGTAAGAACACAGCAAACACCAGCACAGAGACACTTACCAGTGGGTAGGAAAACACTCAGCAGTGAGCACATTCAGACAACTGAAGCCGATCCTGAGGTCAGGGAGAAGGTCCACGATGCAGGAGAATTCCAGTTGCTTCACTCCTCAGTTCTTAGAGTAAACATGAGTGTCGGATGCCAGATAGCCGACAGGTCTTCCATGAGAAGCAGCTCTCTCTTAACTGCACCTGTCTTAAGGCAAACTGGTTTTAACTCTAAACACTGCTTCCTGGTAGTTATTTTTAGCTCTGTAGATTAAAATGTTCCACCCAGCTATTTATTTTTATTTAATTCAATTTCTTTAAATAGGGTGGTACAATTTTTTGAGGATAGATGAGGGTCAGGCCAGCAAGGGCTTGGAATGCCAGTCTGAAAACCTTGGCCTTTTGTGCTCTAAGCCGTGGAGAGTTGCTGGAGATTTTGGAGCAAAAAGAATGACAGGACCATCTCTTTAGGACTCTTGACCTTTTGGGTGTGAAACACCAAGTGAACTGGTTTGGAACTCGGATCCATAGCAGACAAGTTAGAGATGGAAAGTTGGATTTGCTACACTGCTAACCTGTTGTCATTCACGCTTTGCCAGTGTAGCTTTGGACTCTTTTTGTTCCTGGCCCCGATCCTGTGGGCAGGGTTCAGGAAATAATGACTCTGAGCGTGGTGACTCGTCAGACCCATATTTGGACTATTTCACTTTCCCAGGTCCTGAGGGTGACTGCTGTGCACTGACGTCGCTCCTTCCCCGTGTCCTCTCAGTCCCCTCAGACTCCAAAAATGAGGCCTAGGAGGTGGAGTACATGCCTGTGTAGATTCTTGTCAAGAGTCCTGTTTTGCTGCAGTTGAGCTGTTCTTGGCTGGAATCCATCTTGCCTTCAGTGGAAGAATGACAGGCAGGGATAGGTCCTTTCGTTAATACCCTTCTCTCCGTAGAGAAAAATAACCCCATCCATGCACACCCTGCCTTGGGCTATTGGCTCAGATGGTTACTTTCTCTGGTATTTGGTCTCCTAAATAGTTTTGAGTAAATGACATCCTCTTGAGTGTGTTTGGTGTAGGAAGAGGGCTTTCAAGGGGAGAGTGTGTGGGAGTGAGTGGGAGGGGATACGTCTTCTCAGAACTTGTCTCCAGGTTCTGTAGCTCCAAGCAGGTCCACGCAGCGCTCCCACTCCTCAAGGGAGGGCAGCCTGTGTCTTCGCCATTTCCCAGGCCTGCCCCCCTCCCCCTCCCCCACAAAGAAGTCTCCAAAGATGTCTTCATGGAAACATGATACGTGTGATTTCATAAAGTAATAACTCTGTGCGTCCCTTCTTCATATAAGCCTGGTAACCCAATGGAAAAGAAAGCAGCATGAGACTTAAGGGTGGTCCCGGTACTCAGTGCCCAGGGGGCTGGCTCCTCGGACCACGATGCTCAACCTTTGCCTGTCCCTGAGCTGCGTCAGGGAGTGTGGTTGTGCCCCTTGGCCCCAGTGAGTCCCTTCCTGAAAGGGTTGGTTGGAGTTCATTGGAGGAAAGCAAGTTTCTTTCACTCCCAACTTCTTAGTTGAGGCAGTAACCCGGACCTGTAGGGGCCCTGGAGATTTTGTCCTAGAAGAATTTGGAGACCGTGAAGAAGTAAAAAGGATGGATGTGTACAGGCAGAAATTCCTAACTGTGGCTACCTATCCCAATTTCCTGGGGAAGTTTTCACAAGATATGCAGGCTGGGTCCACCCCATAGCTACACAGAGGCATGGACTGTAGACCCGGCACCCCAGCTGATGTAGATGAGCAACCCTGGTTAGGAAGCCCTTGTTGGAACCTTGGTCTAGGCACGAGGTTCTTCAGTCCCGAGGGGTGACCCTGACCCTGACGTGGCTCATTTGGAATTAAGTTGAAACTCCCTGCCAACAGGACAACTCAACCATAGAACAGTGACTTCTAGGACCCTAAAGTGAACTTGGCCAGTGTAACACCCAGTTTTAAGAGGAGGAAGAACATACAGAACATAGATATTACATTTATGTGAATATTAATAAAATGGAGTGTACATCTATGTCACTTTTTCACTGACATTAAAGGTGAACATTTCCTTGGTGGCATTCTATAGGTGAAGGCCCTTCTGTCTCTTCCGTTGCTCCCCCAGGCTTCCCCCAGGAGCTCACCTTGCTTCCCCAAAGGTTTTGTTTGGGTTGAATTGTTGTCCTTTTGGCTCTGAGCACATGGACTCCCAATAAGCCTTCCCTTTTCTGAGACCTGTCACTGAACCCAGGAGCACCCCTCCCCTGGGCACCGGCCTGCCCGCCGGCTGCTTGCCTCAGCGTGTGCCTGTCTGTCTGCCCGCAGTTTGCTGTAGAAAAGCTGAGCGAACTAGAACACTGGAAACGGGAGCTGCAGGACGAGGCCCACACCCTCATAGATTTTTTCTGCGAAGACAAAGAAACGATGAAGCTGGACGAATGCCTTCAGATCTTTCGAGACTTTTGCACCAAATTCAGCAAAGCGGTTAAGGTACGGCAGATGGCATCTCTGTATTTTCTGAGTGGTTCAGACTTTTTTTTTTCTCCTTCCAGAGCCAGCCAGCGGCAGGGAGACGGTTGAGCATTTCTGGGGGTTGAGGAAGGTCGGGCGCAGGCAGTGTCGCCAGGCTCTCGGTCAGGATAAGTGGGAAGTGGTTCTGCCACCCAAGGCCTGAATGCTTCCGTACCATCAGGTGTCCAGCGTGTGGGGACAGTGGTGGTGGGTGGTAGATGCCAGCATCTGCTACTCTGAGGCTCAGACCATGACCCACTTTAATGCCCTAAAAGCCATGGCAGCCAGGCTGCCCTTGGCCAGAGCCGACGCGGGAACACTCAGACATCTAGGGAGCATGCTCTGCTGCCTGAGACCACCTTGCCCTGCGGCCATCAATTCCAATCATCTCCGAACTCATTGCAGAAGCCAGAAAACTCTCTGGGTTGCCTGGCTTTGCAAATAAATCTTTCATTTCAGTGAAAAACAAGCACATCTCCTCCCTTCCTTTCTGGTGGTGATGAGAAGCCTAATACGTGTATACCATCTCTTCTCTGTATTTCAAAAGCAGATTTGCCTGTAGCTGAGTTTCTTTGAGGGACTGGTCCCATTTCTCTCCAGCCATAAGAGTTTCTTGATTTCTCGGTCCCTCCTTCCTCTGTCCAACTAAACCAAGGAGGGTCAGCCTCTGGCCACGTTTACTTTCCCTTGTCCAAGCAGTGATCTCAGCAGAGGAAGCGGTGGTGGGTGATAGGTGCCAAATAGGCTCTTGCTGAGGCCCTCACTCCCAGTTGGAATCCTATAGAACACCACCTGTGTGATGCTCTCAGTCCAGCCACCCCTGAGAGCCAAGAGCTGGCCCCTCCCCCGGCCCCGGCAGCCAGCCGGAGCCAGAGCCACACAGAAACTTGGACAGGAACGTCCACAATTTGTGGAAATGGACTTTCAAGTAAAATGTGCTCCGATAACAGATTTGGGTGGTGATTTAAACATATTTCCATGACAGGAGTACATTCAAAGTGTACAACCAGCCAGTGAAGTGTGCTCGGTTGTGTGCAGCTGTTCTGGTTCCAGAGGACTGCCACTCAGAGCAGGGTGGAAGGTGGAGGATTTGTAAAGCAAATCCTTCTCTCTGGTGGTGAGAAGGGCATGGGGCATAAGGGACCGAGCCACCCTGGCATTTCTGGTGTGTGTTTGTTTGTTTGTTTGTTTGTGTGGGGGTTTTTTGTCCTACCAAGGAGCAGTCCGAGAACAAAGATTTGAAAAGCCACTCTTAATATCTTGGGTGTCCATCATTTATGTATCCATACCCCACTGGGTAGAATGTGCTGCACAGGAGAGTGTGTGTGTGTGTGTGTGTGTGTGTGTGTACGTGTGTGTGCACGTGCATGTGCGCACCCATGCAAGGACCAAATTGGGTTTCCTTGGAGTTTAGGTCACAGGTGTAAGCGGAGTCATAGTCCACATTGTGGGGACAGTGCCTTGACCTGAAAGCTGGAAATTGGGCCCAGGGATCCTTACGGGATCTGCTGGGGCCAGTACTGTACTTAGGGGATCTACTGGGGCCACTACTTTTGGGGCCAGAAGTAGTGTCTTCTCTGGTCACTCCCACATAGCTCTAAAGAACCTAGTCCCCACACACAAGGGCAAATGCACAGTCTACCCCCAATGCCCAGGGCCCAGTCTCTCCTCCACCATGTGTGTCTCACTGGGGTCTCAGGGTAGGTGGCCCTGGAATGGCACGGGTCCCACGCATCTGATGCATTTTCGGGCTTCTCTCCACCCCTCGTTCAGGACAACCACAACCGGGAGGTACAGGAGCTGAGGCAGCTGCGGCGGCTGCAGGAGCTGGAGCAGAAGCGGCGTTCCTGGGCCACCGGGGAGCTGGTGGGATTCGGCCGGAGCAGCAGTGAGAACGACGTGCAGCAGTTGGGCAGGAAGGGTGCGGAGGACCTGCCCCCCTTCCTGCACCGCAGGCCCATCAGCCCCTCCTGCCGACGCCCCAGCACCCGCCGCTCCCGCCTGTCCCTGGGCGCCAACGCAGACCGGGAGCTGCTGACCTTCCTGGAGAACTCCGTGGGCAGCCCCGAGGAGGCCAACAAATTCAACAGCTTGCCCCGGAGCAGCCCTCGGCAGGCCCGGCCCACGACGGCTTGGAGGGAGTTGGGGGAGCCGAGGGACCAGGGCTCTGGCCACACACACAGACCTCAGGCCTCCGCAGGCCAGGAGGGAGCCCCCCGTCCACCCTCGGCTTCCTGCGGCCAGCTCCTCGCCCCCCAGATGGAAGACTCGTCTCCCGTTACGCTCCGAGCTCGGCGTAGCGGGCTCAGCACGCTCCAAAAGAGGAACAGCGAGCCTGTGGGCCTGGCGTCTCCCTGGTCCCCTCCGCTCTCGCCACTGGCTCTGGGCATTAAGGAGCACGAGCTGGTGACCGGGCTGGCCCAGTTCGACGTCCAGGGTCCCAAGGACCCAGAGGAGACGCCCCAGCGGAGCCCAACTAACACCAGTCCAGAGGAGCCGGCGTCTCCGGGGGATGGGAGCCCGAAGCCCCTCGGAGCCGGCACTGGTGCTGGCATTGGTGCTGGCAACGACAGCCTGACGCCTGAGGGCACAGATGCCCAGGGGAGTCTCAGCGCAGCCTTGCAGGATGACGGGGCGGCCCCTGACGAGCCCAGCCCCAACCCTGAGAGCAAAGAGGCTGGGCCTCTGTTCTACTTCTCTGATACCACCGACTGCTCGCTGACCTTGGACTGCTCGGAGGAAGCCAACTCCAGGCCTGGCGGTGGGGAGCTGCCAGAGGCCGGCCAAGGGGATGGCTCTGTGTCCTCTGGGGCAGGGGAGGCGGGCGGCAGCCACGTGTCCCCCAGCCCTCTCTCCAGCCCCCCAGAGGAGACCTCTGTTCCTGCTTCTGCGAGGAGCGGGCCCAGCTCCAGGGGTGGCCTCTGCAGAGACAGATCCTACAAAGGGAAGGACGCGACCACACCAAAGAGAAACTCCCTCAAAGAGGCGTCCCCGGGGGCCCCCAAGCCTGGGACCGCCCCACGAGGCCAGGGTCCGGCGCCCAAGCCTGTGCGGACCTTGACCTCCTCGGAGAGCGAGAGCATGCGCAAGGTGGTGCCCATCTCCAGGGCCAGCAGGGGCTCCGCCGGCTGGAAGCAGCCCCCTCCTCGGGAGTCCCCCGGCAGCACCCAGGAGTCGTGGTCACGCCGGAACTCGGTGAAGGGCACCTCGGACACGTCACCCAAGAGGTCCTCGAAGGGGCCCGTGCCGGTCACCGAGGTGCCCGAGGAGCAGAGGCCGCCGCGAGGGAGGCTTGGCTCCTGCGGCACCCGGCCGGCCAAGGAGCCCGCCCTGCAGCCCAGGGCCTCCTTCAAGAAGCCCAGTGCCAAGCCCCTCCGCAACGTCCCCAGACAGAAACCCGAGGAGAATAAGATCTGCCGCTCCAGCTCCCAGGACCCGCAGAGCCCGGGAGAAGAGCCCAAGCCCCCTCCGCCAACCCCCACCGCCCCCCGTGCCCCATCCCAGGTCCCAGGCTTTGCCCGAAACACAGTAGCCTCCTCATCTCGGTTCATGAAAACGGATTCTCTCCCCGTGACCAAGGCGCCCGGCCTTACGCGGACAGTCTCCCACCGGCAGCTGCGGGTGAAGGGTGGCTCTGAGGATGCGGCCCCCAAGGACAGCCGCACTCTGCGGAGGGCCAACAGCTCCCGGGCCCCCCAAAGGTATCCTGAGTCACCAGAGAGTCCCGGTGCCAACACAGAGGCCTTCCTGAAGGGCAGGGGGACGGGGGAAAGGACCTCCTTCAGGCAGAAGGACTCCGGCCGGAGCACCCTGGGGAAGATCCTCAATCCCTTGTGGAAGTGATGGGTGCCTGTCCCCCTCGCCTCCTGGACTCCTATGCGGACTAACTGCTGTGAAAGGCCAACACCCAAGGGCTCTTCTGCCTCCAGGGGATGGCTGGGGCCACCTGCTATCGCCCCCGTCGCTGAAGGCACACACTGTGGGCTGCCACCTGCGAGTCCCCATGCACCCCTGTCCTGGACTGGCTCCTCCCGCACCCCCCCCAAAGAGTGCACAGGCAAACCCTCTACGCCAAAAACAGAGACTCAAGGGTGTGAGATGGCATTCTTATGCAACAAGTAAGCAAGGAATTTTGGCCAGTTTTTAGAAATCAGAGGCTTATTTTTCAATATAAAAATTCAGTGTTTTGAGTTGGTTCCTTTTGCAGAGTGAATGGAAAAGAAAAAGAAAAAAAAGACAGAAGAAGAACTGTTTTGTATGAAGATGTTTTCATCTTCCTGTGTCCCATGGCCCCAGGTTGCACCTGCCCACACACCCTCCGTTGCTGGCAGCGGGGCTTCGCCATGAACCCTGGGCAGCCTGTGGTTGCACCGAGTCCTTGAGACTCTTCCTGGCTCCCCTCCCCCTGCCTGACTTGGGAAGAGGGTTTGCGTGTGAGCAGGAGGGAGAGGGAGGCTGGTGGGCGGAGACTGGTGCTCCTGTGGCTCTGTGCGCACCGTGGGCAGCGGGGCAGTGGGGCGGGCGTTTTGGGGGCCAGTGGCTGCCCCCCTACAGATAGGTGGCAGGCAGCCCCTAGGAGAATGCTGGGTCTTCCAGGATTTAGAAGTGCCATATTGTCGTGGGAAGTCATGGGGGCTGTTCAGCAGATCACACCTCTCCCATCCCATATTTTCGCGTTTGTGTTTCTATTGTACAACTGAGTGAAGGCTGCTATGACTTGTGTTTCGCTCTGGTTACAGGTGAGGGCAAACCTTTCTGTCTCCCAGTCTTTCTTATCCCTCTTTTTGCTCCCAGCCTTTCTTTGCTCGTGTGACCTGGAGCCTGGAGTATCCCTCTATATATCTATCTCTATCTCTCTCTCTCAACAATGATATTTTTAAATGTTAACGTCTATTCTTTGGTACAGTGGTTTTGAAATCCTGAGAAAAACCATATCAAGATTCTAAAATTAGAATAAAAAGAAAATAACTGTTAGAAGAATTTAGATCATCAGGGAGAATTTGGAATAAAGGCCATTCAGAAGAAAGGTGGGTGCGAGAGGGCACTTTTTTGTACCTGGTTCCCACTTCACTATTTCCCTCTGAGAGTACTTGGGAAATGGGAGAATTCTTGAAACTCTTTTATTTTTAAAAAATTGCGCGCCCCTCCCCCTACCCCCCACATTTTTGGTCACTTATTAGTGAAACCTCATTTCAGATTCGGAGGTAGACGGATTTAGGCAAATAAGATGTGTTACAGTCTCCCTCCCATACAATGTTGCCTCCCAACCAAATTAATTGGAAACTTGACTTCGATGAGTCTGCTAAGTTAAAAGGGTAAACTTTATGGTAGAAGAAGTTAGGCACCTGACCACAAAACCTTACAGAAATAGCCGCGAGTAGGTATTTCCGGGGCTCCACAGAGATGGTTAATGGGAATCCTGAGCTGTTTCTCACCATCTCAAAAAACCTGAGAAATCATATATTTAATTAAGCATGCAGACAACAGTGGTCAAAACATAGGGCCCATGGGTGGATGGGAAATGGATGAAAGAGGTCAAAAGTTTGTGAATAGAGAGGGGGTCAGGACTCCTGGTGGGACTCTAGGGACCAGGGTTCAAGTCCCTCCCTGTTCCAGCGCTGATTCTACGTAGCTTGGGCCACTCCCTGTCCCTAAGCCTCTGCTTCCCTGTCTGCAGCAGTGGGGGCATGGCCTCCATGATGGTCTCTAGAGGTCCTTCTAGCTCCAGCAGTTCGAGTCATAAACAACCAGGGACCCAGCTCTGCCCTGGGACCAGCTTTTCAGAACCAACCCCCTGCATCTCTTCAGCAGAGGCCTCCCGCAAAGGCCTGCTCAAAACACCTCCAGAATGAGTCGTTGCTTTGAAACCCACTAAGCCACTTTCCTGAGAAGTGGTGTTTTGTTTTACTTAGCCCTGTGGACAGCTTCTGTGTTTGCATCTGTACGAGCAGGTGATCATTCTATTACCTTTTATTGGTAGTACGCTTCGACAAAATAATTTAAGTATATAATGGAGAAGTGTAAATAGGTTTCTATATGAAATTGTTTAAGATGAACAATTAAGATGTATTTAAAGGTCCATTTATATGTTCTTTTATGTAACAAGTAGTTAAATAAAGTTCCTGTTTATGGGATTGTGTTTTTTCTTGATCCACACGCGCGTATTTGTGTGTGTGTGTGTGTGTGTGTGTGTGTGTGTGTGTGTGTGAGAGAGAGAGAGAGAGAGAGAGAGAGAGAGAGAGAGAGAGAGAGAGATATCCTGGTAGGAGAGGAAGGCAGGATGTAGGAGGTAGGAGAGGGTTGGAATACAAGTCTTGTTCTCAAACGGTTCAAGAGCCAAAATTAGGCTGTTGGTGTGTTACCTTAGTAGCACAGAACCTGCATTTAACCAAGGGCCTTGCACCAGACCTGTGGGAAAGCAGGCATGCAGCTGACAGGCAGGCCATCGGTGGAATGTTCAGCACCTCATACATGCTCACATTATTCCACATTTGGGGCCAAGTTTTGTGTAATCTCCACGGGGCCGGCAAGTCTGGATCTGCTGCTGTGTGTCCTCGTGTGTTTTGGCTCAGGACACTATTGGGAAATCACAGCTCACTTCTGAGCTGCCTCAGGAATGAGCAGAGAGGGAGGAAGGCGGGGTTTTATTTCAAATGCAGGGTTGATGCTTCTTTGAAAGGAAAGGCGGGGGAGGGGTGTGTGTGTGAGACCCACTTCATACCTTGGGGTTTCATATTAGGTGCTGGGCCTGGCTTCTCTCCTGCTATATCTGGAAATGTTAAAGGAGTAGCCTGGGTCAGGCACCCATGGGTGAGAGCGTAGATGACGTCTTTGTGGGTTGCTGCTGGCCCTGTGACCTTTAGAACCTGGTTTTGCCTGTTAGAGCGTTTTATTTCCGTAGTGGATCTCAAGCAGTTTTCTTTTTACCCTCTTATTAGAGGGCTGTCACAAGGATGCTGTGGTGCAGTCCTCCTCCTGAAGATAGGTGTTGAGTTCAAAGGGACCACAGTTTCCTAATTATTTTTCAGACTCTGAATGTTTATGTATTGTGCTCCGGAATAATTTGGTAGAACTCTCTTTTTTTCTAAAATATATTTTTATTGTTTCAGAGAGGAAGAGAGAGAGAGAGAGAGAGAGAGAGAGAGAGAGAGAGAGAGAGAGATCAATGATGAGAGAGAATCATTGATTGGCTGCCCCTTGAACATCCCACACCAGGGTTCGAGCCCACAGCCCGGGCATGGGCCCTTACCAGGAATTGAACCGTGTCCTCCTGGGTCATAGGTTGACGCTCAACCACTGAGTTACACCACCCAGACAGTTTGGTAGAATTCTTAAGTCAACCTTCTTAGGTGTGCAAATGACCAACTTTTGCCTCTAAGGGTGCGGAATCCCCCCATCTCCCATCTGGCAATGATGATGTTTTGCAATTTCACAGAATTTTCTAGTGAAACTTAACATCGCATTTGGTTCATAAATACTTCAAACATTTATTCGTGCCCTGAGCACAAACAGAGTGGGAGATCGTGGGTCTACAAGTCATGCTACTCGGCATCGATGGGCTAGCAGTGCCTAGCTGGGAATGACTCTGGCAGAGTTGAAAACAACTCAGAGCACCCTCCCCTGGGGCGTTTTTCTCCTGCAAACATCTTCCAGTAAAATGTCCTCTGGGCTCCCTGGATCCCTCAGTGAAGATAAAAGCAACATGCCTGCTGTGGAAGATAATGGCTTTTCTGTCTTCCAGGCCAGAGCCCTGCGATGAGGCGTTTGGCTTCCTGGTTGGTAGGTAGGAAAATTGGGCCCCATTGCAAGAGAGATCAGGATGCCAAGCAGCCCTCACAATTACTCATTCATGGGCCCTTGACTAAGAACCCCCCAAGAGCCTGGCACACCCTGCCCGTTGGGCTGTGGTACGGAGATGGCCTAGCCTCTGAAAGAGGATGCTGCTTGAGGTCCCTATGGGTGCATTCATGCCCAGCCTTTGGAATCTGGGCCTGGGCTTTGCCCCAAACTCCTCAGAGACATTCAAGGGCTGAGTCATCCAAGCACTCCCTAACTCACAGGCAAATGATGTTCCCCAAGTTTGCTTGCAATCAGATATGAGCTCAGAGTCACTTTCCCAGAGCAACGATGTCATGCATTACAGGTAGGTTTCCACAACAGCCTATTGTCCACCCGTGGGTGGACTGTGGCACCGACGTTTCCATAGGAGTGAAGCTCACTGGTAGCTGAGTCCCTCAGGAAAACACCAGGGTGCCAGGAACATTCCTCTCCTCCTTCTGGACATGAGGTAGAGGCTACAGCACTGCAGCCTGAGCACCAGCAATGTCCACTGTCCACTGTGAGATAAGAAAAGGCCTTGCCACTCTGGAGGTCAGACACAGGGGCTCCCACCTCCTAGGCCACCTCCAGTGAATGCAGGCCACATTTCTGCCAGAGACTCCCTGCTGCCTGTGCTTCCTCACAAAGCACACCCACCGGCCCAGCAGAAAGGCATATCCCCTCTGCTTTCAACTGTCCAGGTGGTGGGACTAACCACAATCCTTTGGCTTCCAGATAATCAAGGGAAAGAGCGCCGGTATGTGTGTGTGTGTGTGTGTGTGTGTGTGTGTTGGGGGGCTGCCTGTGGAGCCAAAGCCATGGCTTCATGAGCCGAGGACAGCTGGGAGCTGGGTCATGGACCACTTCAATGGGAGCTGGACGTTGGCTGCCCGTGGGAAACTCTCCTCGAGGTGCCCCTGACTTCTGACAGCATGGGAGCATCTAATAGCCCCCAATTTCCCACAGTGGGGTGGACTCCAGTGTGTAGCAGAATCACCCACATTTCAGGTGGATGATTTCCAGCCCCATCCCAAACCTAAACCAAGTCAGAAACTGATAGGGCCCCTGAATTTGCATTTTAGACAACTCCCCAGGGGTTCCTTTTTCACCCTGCTGTTGAGAACCAGTGGGCTGGAGCAAGGCCAGAGGCTGGGGCTCTGAGGTGGGATTCTGTGAGCTGTTCTCAGGCTTTAGCCCCCCTCCAAGCCTGTCAGACCACCCAGTGTCTCCTGGACAAACGAGGCAGAGACTGGCTCTGACCTCAGCGCCGGGTCAGGGGGAAAGCCGGGTCAGGGGGAAAGCCGCCTGCCTCCTCGGACCCTGAACAGGTGGTCTAATTTGCATCTTAAAACAGGAGTGCCTCCAGTGTATATGCTTGGCCACTCCCCCGAGCCTGCGGTTCTGGATGATGTAGCATCTGAGCTTAAGAACAATGGCACCAGCCGGAAATAGGAAGTGACACTTCATGAGACTTGCCACGGCTGCCCTTTCGGGAGATTGCAGCTCAGTATCTATGAGGCAATTTGCTAATAAGTGCTGAACAATGTCACACCCATCTGCGTGTCGGCGGTGAGATGTCAGCAAAGCTGCTCTTTGGAGCCCTGTTCCCTGCATTTCCACAGCCTCCACCAGCATGACTTCAGCTCGGTTCTCAGGAGCCTTGCCTGGAGGCAGCGTGGTTCCTTCTCCCTGTGTGTCCTGGGGCCTGGCAGGCCAGCATCTGTGCTGACCTCACCGGTTAGGAAGGGGGTGGGGCGCAGCTCTCCAGGGTGCTGACTCAGTGCGGGCTGGGAGCAGCGTGCAGGCTCACGTGCTGCCTTCAAAATAAGGGCAGAAGAAGGGACGCTGC